TTTTGCCTTTATCCTTTTCTTTATCTATGTATGTACGTACTCACCTTTATTTGCATTCTTGCATTGGTCGTTATCTACATAAGTCTTATTTTCTAAGCTTTTATTGGCACGTTTTTGTAAAATGAATACCATGTGCATATATTTAAGAAGCGAATGCCGGGATTCGGGCCCTGGTCCTACAGGTCGAATAGCTCCGGAAGTCGCCATGTGACCGAAGCACTCCGTTTACCATCAAAAGGGAAAACTCAGAAGGGTGGGCATATCAAAACCAGCAAAACACTTTATGGAACACCCTAATGCGCATTTGGACCTAAGCATGTGCAATCAATTGTAATCAAAATTGTTGATTAGATATAATTTACATTATTACACGCTCATTGCCGCACCGCAATCAATTATTTGCAAACTGCTCATCGCAAGTAAAATAAATTATTTTAAACACCAATGTTTATGCCTATATATGTATGTATCTCAATTTTTAAACAAAGCCGAAATGGGGTTGTGCAAAAACTGATGCAATAAAAATTACCTTCAAGCAGCGCCATAACCGAATAAACGAAGAAGTAATATTTTGCAAAAGAACTGGTTATTGCTTATTTTGATTTACATATATGTAAGTATGTAGTGAGGTCGAAAAGAAATCGCTCGATCTCATAGTAATTACATTACAAACAATTACAAAAACATTTTTATAATCATCTCTTCTCTTTCGCCGCAGCCACAGCGCCAGCATTTAACTATAATTTGTTAACTATGTACTTTATAAACAAAAGCGACGATCGAGCTGCGGCTGGCAGTGGCGTGAACACCTCAAAGCTGGCTAGTCGCCAAGCAAACGCCGATGCGTGAGGTTTGTCAACATACTTGTAGCGCAACTTGAAATACCGATAGCAGCAACGAAAACTAAATAAAAGCTCAAAAAGCATAGCAACTTTGTACTGGCAAAACTTTTAAACACATACATACTGGCTGGAAATCTAAAAGTGGCGAACAAATGACTACCTGTTTCGTTATCAATGGCACGCCATATAACGGTAAATTAGCGCAGCGAATACACAGTTAGTTAGGCAACAGCGTTGCTATTTCTTCCTTGTCTTTTGCAGTTGACCTTGCCAGCTTGCCGGCCGACATCACGCTGAACACCTTCATACGCGAACATGCGCAGCTTACGGCGACCAAATACATGTGCCTGGAGGGTGGCTGTGGCGTTTGCGTTTGCGTCGTTCGCGGCAAACATCCGGCGACCGGCGAAACACGCACTTGGGCCGTCAATTCGGTAAGTCGCCTGTACACTCACCACATTTTTTTAAATTTAAAGAATCACTGCGCTCTTCTTTCTCTTCTCACTGAAGTGTTTGACGCTGCTAAACACCTGCGCGGACTGGCAGATCACCACCTCCGAAGGCATTGGCAGCAGGCGCTTTGGCTACCATCCCATACAAAAGCGTCTGGCTAAGCTGAATGGCTCTCAGTGTNCCTCCGAAGGCATTGGCAGCAGGCGCTTTGGCTACCATCCCATACAAAAGCGTCTGGCTAAGCTGAATGGCTCTCAGTGTGGCTTTTGCTCGTGCGGCATGGTAATGAATATGTACGGCTTGCTGGAGTCCAAAGGCGGCCGCGTTACCATGGCAGAAGTGGAGAATTCGTTTGGCGGTAATATTTGTCGTTGCACCGGCTATCGACCCATCTTGGATGCCATGAAATCGTTCGCCATTGACAGCAATATTGAATTACCTGACAACGATTGCGGCGACATTGAAGATTTCGAATTCGTCACTTGCCCTATGAC